ATATATACAATCATCAACATTAGTAAAAAAGAAATACTACTAAAAGAAACATTTTCATGTGATAAATATTTAGATATTTATACACAAGAAGAATGATGAGCGTAAGGAGTATGGACCCCAGGTTGATTGGCATCCCTAAGATTTAAAGACATGCGTGTCTCAAACGACTTGTATTGGAGTATCATTAAATAACCATAATGAAAAGTGTACTTGACTCGTGCATTCTCATTATTGGGGTACCCCACTTTAGGGGACAAATTTTATCAATGTGGCATTCTTGTCCTGTCCCTTTTAGGTCACAGTCCCACAACACAACCAAAATCCCTGCAATTCAATCCCATTAAATTTCTTTGACTCTTTCTCTTTCTCTCTCTAGTCAGAACCTTCATCATGACCAATGACTGCTGCCTGAGGTTGAAGTCTTCAAGAAAGAAATCATTAAAAAGCAGACTGATCAATAAGTTTGAAAATCTATTGGATTTTCTGATAAAGTTGCCTTGAACTACGGCCTCAACCCATGAATGACCATTAGGTCATTCCCTACCTAACTCTAACTATTTACTCCCTTTGTTGAAAATTTCTACCAATATTATGTCAAACCTTTATTTACGTAAACATTAAAACTAAAGGCTACAAATGACACATTTTTAAGTTCAACATTAACAGCAAAACAAGAGTAAAGGTTCACCATAAAACATCCCATGAAAATAGCATTTGAATTTTTAAAGTTACCTACACAACATGAGAGGTCTAAATTACTCCTTCTGTCTTGTAATTATAATATGTCTCACTACTATATACTATATCCCTATTTTATATGCCTATGTTAGCCTTGTACATTAAAAAATAAATAGATTACATGTAGGGAAGGGAGGCCACTATGATTGGTGCAACTGCCTGTTGTTATGTCTACATGCTATCTAACATTTTTGATGTAATGGATTACCTCTTGTTTATCTTCAATCATATTTTTTTTTTCTACTTGAAATAAAACGTTTAATTTTTTTTAATAAAAATCACGAAATAAATAAGTTAAACAGTATGATACTTTTGAATTTAGTTGAACATAGATAGTTTTATCTAATAATAAAGTTTGATCTATTGATATTAAAAAAAAAATTTTAATACACTCCTTCACGTCATGTCTAATATTTTTTTAGTTTAATTTGTGGATATAAACAATGGATAGTTCATGCTCCGATTGATAGACTCTGATATTATATTAGAGTTTAACATAATTCATCTTTACAAAATCGATTTGTAAAATGAGAGTGTTATGATCTATATAAACTCTTTCAATATTATATTCAATCAATGTGGGATTTGGAATCTTTCTAATACACTCATCCACGACCCGCCCAATACTCTTTTGGACTAAATGTGTAAATATAAACAATGAGTGGACCATGGTTTGATATATCGATAGCTCCTCTGATACTAAATTAAAGTTTGACATAACTCATCGTTACTAAACTGACTTATAAAGTGAAAGGTGCTACTTTCTTATAAGATATGTCACTTTATATAAATTATTCCAAGACTCTACTGATACCCAATTAAAATTAAAATGTACTCAAGAATTTATCTTAAAATAAAATGAAAATAAAATGAAAATAAAAATGATATGTAAAGTTTTATATTTAATTAAATTTAAAATTGTTGAGAATATAATTATTTGTGTCAACGCACTATTTTGACAGAGTTTGTTATTGTCAAAATGTTTTGTCTGTAGAAGTTGTATAGATGTTATTGTTGAAATTGTATGAGTTTAAGGAATGGGATTGAACTGAAAATGAAAAGAAGGATCCCGTGAGAATCTTATGTGAAGAACCAACAAGTGAAGTTGAAAGAGAAGTTCGACAAGAAGAAGTTTGAGATCAAGCAAGTACAAGCAAAACTCAAAGAACAAGACACATGCTTGTAAGGTTGCTGGAATGTGTGATTACATTGAATGATGTGGTCAATGATGAAGGTGGGCTGGTACACTATACTTTCTATGCAGATATCGAACCAGTCAATGCAGTTGGGACATTGAAGGATTTGAAGTGGATGAAAGCGATGAAAGAGAAGATGAAGTCCATTGAAGTCAAAAACAATTATAGCATGTTTGATTTAACTTTTGGAAAACCCATAATCAATTCTAGAGGTGTATAATTCATTATGGGTGATTTTGAGATGTTTGTTTTTATCAAAAGTAGAATTTATTCTACCTCCATAATTGATTCTACTTGAAGTTAGAATTTGTAGCTTCTTCCTCTAGAATTGATTCTGGATAATTTTTACACTGAAATTTATTGTTTAACTCACTTTTACATAAATGTATCCAAACATAAATCAATTCTGCTAAACTTAATTCTGTTAAAATCAATTCTACCAAACTCAATTCTGCTAGAATCAATTATATTCACCACAAATCCAAACACACCATTGGTCACTTGCCGAATTACCTCAAGGCAAGAAGGCAATCGATGTGAAATGGGTATACAAGGTGAAGTTAAATCTCAAAGGAGAAGTAACTCGACACAATGCAAAACATGTGGCGAAAGGGTTTCTTCAAAAAGAAGGAATCAACTTCGATGAAGTTTTTTCACCTGTTGCTAGGATCAAAACAATCAGGTTGATTGTTGGTCTAACAAACAGGAACAACTGGCATATGTGTTAGATGGATGTGAAATGTGCATTTTGAATGACCTCTGGCCTTAGATGAAGAATTTTATGTTGCACAGCCAATTGGATTTATGAAACAAGGCCAAGAAAGAAAAGTATATAGGCTGCATAAATTCATGTATGGACTCAAACAAGCTCCGAGAGCTTGGAATAAGAAGATAGATAGTTTCTTAAGGGAGAAGGAGTTTGTGAAGTGAACAACTGAGTATGAAATATATGTAAGATGAAACAAGAGTGAATTTCTTATATTGTGTCTATATGTCGATGACTTGTTAATAACAGATAACTGTAAGAAAGAGATTAAAGACTTCAAATGTGATCTTAGCAAAAAGTTTAAAATGTATGATCTGGGAAACATTTCATGCTTCCTTGGTATCGAATTCTTCAAGAGTAGTAGAGTTCTGATGATGCATCAAAGAAGATATGCAAATAAAATACTCAAGATTTGAGATGGAAGATTGCAATGCGACTTCGACACTTTCTGAACCAATACTGCAACTGTTGAAAAACTCAGATAAAGATGATGTTGACCCAACATAGTACAAAAAACTTATTGGGTCATTAAGATACCTTTGTCACACAAGTCCTGATCTATCATACAATATAGGTATGATGAGTACATTCATTTAAAAGTCAAAGGTATCACATCTAGTAGCGCCGAAGAAGATACTAAGGTATCTCAAAGGAACACTCGAGTATGGCATTCTATTTCCTACATCTGATGAAGGAAAAGAATGCAAGCTAGTGGGTTACACCGACTCAAGTTGGTTAGTTATGTTGAGGATAAAAAATTCACAACTGGTTATGTGTTTATGCTAGGTAGTGCACCGGTTGCTTGAAGCTCAAGAAATGAACCTATAGTAGCACTGTCTTCATGTGAAGCAGAGTACATAGTTGTTTCCCTCATGTCAAGAAAAGTGGATGGTGAATTTGGTCGAAGAAATTACAGGAAAGAATCATGGAGTAATTACCATGAAGATCGAAAGCATGTTTGCTAACAATGTGACGAAGAATTCAATAGCACATGGAAGAAGCAAACACATTGAAATGAGGTTCCATTATCTTCAAGAGTAAGTAGCAAATGGAATGTTGAACTTGAAACACTGCAAAACTGAGAATCAGATTGCATACATCATGACGAAATGCGTGCAGATCGAAGTGTCCAAAAGACCAAGAATAATGATAAATGTAGATAGTTTAGACACAATGAATTAGGTGGTGTGTTGAGAATATAATTATGTATCAACACACCATTTTGACAAAGTTAGTTATTGTCGAAATGTTCTGTGTGTAGAAATTGTATAGCCGTCGAAATGTCGAAGAAGTGTGTCTCGGTTGAAACTTGGACTTAACTTTATTTTGTGTTTTTAGGTGAGTTAGGGTAGTTGGAGATTGCTTGGTGTGCAAACAATCTCAACATATAAATAAGAAGATACACTATCATTGTAATAATATCGTTGTATAGAGATAAGATTGAAGAAAACTTCAATTTGAAGGCATGGAGAAACTTTGCAGAAATATTCTCAGTCTTTCCCTTTTCTCTCATTCTAATTTCTCTTTTCTTACCCAATGCATCTTTTCTTTTCATCTTTAATAATTGTTACGCAACGGAATCATCTTGCAACTAAGATATGGTTGATTGACTCGAGTGAAGAATGAAGAATAATAAAAAGCAAAATCAAAAGGAAGAATAGAATCTTGTTCATTAAGATTGATTCATAATTCTCCATGTTTAGGGTGTTATTAAAAAAAATATATCTTTATTTTTTTATATTTTATTTTACAAGGAAGTAAAATATTAAAAAAAGTTATTATAATAAATGAAAAGTAAAACTTACTTTATTTTATGAAATTCAATATATTATTATATAAAAATCAATATTGATAAAGTGACAATGAAATTCAATGTAAAAACTAAATAAATATTATTTATAAATTAAAAGAAAGGTTTGATATTTTTTTCTAACTATGATTATTATGCTTGACAAATTTCATCTTAAGAAACTACGTTTCCAATCTTGAGAAATTGTCTCTCAAGATTTAAATTTATCACAATGGGTAAAGATATTTATTTTCTATCACAAAATTCAATATATCATTAATTTTCTTTATCTTTTTTAATATCTTTGTTTCCTTCGCATGTCTAAAATTTCCTTCTACCTTCATTCTGATTTCACCATCAATCCAAAACAAAATCCAATTATCAGAAATTCTATACCAACTCCCAAACAAACAAAGGGAGCAAAAACAAAAACAAAAACAACACTATCATCCACTTAAAAAATTCCCTATATACAAAACCAAATCAAATTTCCAAAATCTTCAATATATAATCAATTCAATTCAAGATGTTGTTGCGGCTGAATCTTTGATTTTCCAAAAGGGAATCCAATATCAGCCTTTGAAGTTGAATCATCACTTGTTTTGTTATTATTTATAGCACTTGTATTATTAGTGACGGAAGAAGTTGCTGTTGAATTCGTCGCAACACGTTCGCAAGAAGGACACATAGTTAAAGTAGTTGCTGGTAACTGCATGTTGAACGGATTTGAAGTTTTCAAAGCTCTTAATTCTTGAAGCTCCTTGTTGAGTCTTCTATTCTCTTCCGTTAGTGTCTCGCAACATCTCTTCAAAAATTCACAGTCTACTTCTGTTTGTTTCAACTTTGTCCTACATAAGATCAACATGTGAATCAATGATCATGACGCTGAAAGCTTGTTTAGGATAAAAAGGTAAAACAATATGCACCTTGCTCTTCTGTTTTGGAACCAGACTTCTACTTGACGAGGTCGAAGGTTGAGTTGTTTTGCAAGAGCAAGTTTTTGTTTCTACAACACAATTGTTTCCATATATTAAACTAAAAAACAATTAAAATAAAACAAATTGGTGTGACATGTAAGCGTCATATCTAGTTTATATCATCTGTGCAGAAACTAATCTCTGAATCAGATAGGATTGAACCCGACCCAATTTTTGGTTAGGGGAGAAGAGAAAAATAAAGTTAATTAATTATCGTTTTTTAAATCACATGAGAGAAAAATAAACATACAGGATTAAGAGTGTGGTGTTCTTTGAAGCTTTCTTCAAGAAAAGCAGATTGATCCTTTGAGAGCCTAAGTTTCTTTCTTGTGTTTCCGACGCCACCGCTGTTATCATCTTCATCGCTAACTCTTGAAGAATTTCTTTGATCATAACCTTCACCATCGGAAAAATCTCTTTTGTTACCTCCTGAGGCACTCAAACTTCCTCCACCAGCACCGCCGCTACCTCCTCGACTGTATATACAGAGATCCATCTGAAAAGAAGATGCTGCACTGTTAGGTGACGATGAAAGAACAGCCTCGTCTTCCGCCGCAGCCACGACGGTCAGCGGTGGAACTACGTTCACCTCCAAGCCCCTTGATGAAACTCCAAACTCTGTTGACAAGAAAAACAAACCGTATGATATAGTACTGTCTTTGATATCATCATTAATTCAAAAGTTTCATCTTGTTGAAATATTGATTTCATGGTGACCCTTTAACTAAATATGAGAGAAAAACAAGAGGAAATGAAAAACATAACTTTTTAAGAAGTGGGTGGTTACCGTTTTGAGAAGGAGGATTCCATGGGAAGGAGAGTTGAGGAAGAAGATCAAGTTGATGCAAATTTTCAGTTCTAGTGTTTTGTTCTTCTTGTTGAAGTTGATCTATTTGAGTAGTGAGGTTTGGACCAATTGATAAAGTGGTGGTGAAGCCTAATCCAAGTTCTTTAGAAGCTTGATGAGGATGTTTTTCCATCAAGCCACTTAGAGGCTTTGAAGAGTCTCCTAAGGTTAAACCAAGCTCCATGATCACTTTTTCTACTTTTGCATAGGGAAGAAGGAACTATAACAATATATAGATAGAGAGAGAAGGTGAAGGAATGAGGAATGTAGGTGGGGAAAGGGATTTGTATCTTGGACTAATAAATGAAGAGGAAATGGTTGAAAGAGAAGAGTCTTTTCTTTATAATCATAGAAAAGAGAGTGTCCAACGTGATCATTGCAAGAACAAAAAATTTTGTCACTTTTTTATAACTAATAAAAAATATAATGGTGGCTATTTTCTTTTAGGAGCAATACTAAATGGTAGTCTCAATTTAAATTTAAGAGTTAAAATATGTTTTTGTTTCTTATAACTATCTCATATTTTAATTTTAGTTTCTATTAAAAAAATAACATATTTTAATCTCTACAAAAATTTTATACATTCAGTTTTAATATTTGTTATTTTCTAAAATTTTAAAGACTATTTAATTATTTATAAACCTTTAAACTTTTAAATAATATTTTTTCATACGAGTTTAAATTACTATAAAATATTTTTTTATTAAATTATATAATTTTTAAAATCAGAAGAATTAAATATGAATTTTTAAAATTTTACACAATAATGATAAAGCTAATGAAAATCTCGAGTTATAAATCAAATTTTGAGTTTCTTTTTTTTTCGAGGAACTTTTTATAACGTTTTAAACATATTTGCAAAATAATCATTCAAAAATACACATTGATTTAACAGTAGGAACTAAAACTACGTGCATAATTATTTTGTAAGAACCAAAACTCGGTGATTTTATAGCGAACAAAAACATTTTTAACTATAAATTTAAAGAATTGTATTAAATCAAAACTTATTTTTTCTATTTTATACTAATACTTATTCCCTTTATATATAAATAAATATATATATATATATATATATATATATATATATATATATATATATATATATATATATATATATATATATATATATATATATATATATATATATATATATATATATATATATATATATATATATATATATATATATATATATATATATATATATATATATATATATATATATATATATATATATATATATATATATATATATATATATATATATATATATATATATATATATATGTGTGTGTGTGTGTGAGTGTGTGTGTGTGCGCGTGTGTGTGTGCGCGTGTGCGCGCGTGTGTGCGTGCGTGTGTGTGTGTGCGCGTGTACCCGTGTGTGTGTGCGTGTGTGCGTGAGTGCGTGCGTGTGCGCGTGTGTGCGTGCGTGTGTGTGTGTGCGCGTGTACCCGTGTGTGTGTGCGTGTGTGCGTGAGTGCGTGCGTGTGCGCGTGTGTGCGTGCGTGTGTGTGTGTGCGCGTGTGTGTGTGCCTGTGTGTGTGTGTGCACGCGCATGTGTGTGTGTGTGCGTGTGTGTGTGTGTGTGCGTGTGTGTGTCTGTGTGTGTGCGCGCGCGCGTGTGTGTGTGTGTGTGTGTGTGCGTGTGTGTGTGTGTGTGTGCGTTTGTGCGCGTGTGTGCGTGCGTGTGTGTGTGTGTGCGTGTGTGCGTGTGCGTGCGTTTGCGCGCGTGTGTCTGTCTGTCTATCTGTGTGTGTGTGTGTGCGCGCGCGTGTGTGTAATTTTTTCTATTTTATACTAATGCTTCTTCCCTTCATATATATATATTGGAATCTAATTAGTGTTGGTTGATGATACATGACTCTAAAATTGATAACTCTGATCTTTAATACGAATGCGCGGGGTGGACCTGCAAGGTTAACACTCAAGTCGGTTATAGAGTCCAAGATGAGTACAGTGAGAAGTTGAGGTCAGAAAGTTTACTTTGAATCTCACATGTGGTGACTATATATGTTGGATAAACTTGATAAGCCATGTGTAGTTAGGCCCTCATACAAAGTCTTTGGCTGACTTAGAATAGTTGCCCATAATGCTTGCGGGGCGTATACTACCCGGACAATCTTTCAAAGTCATGGACGTCCCTAGTGATTATGTCATACCATAGAGAGAAGTAGAAAGGTCGTGGAAATGTTACAAAATTAATGAAGAGCAAGTGCATTATTTTCCCATAATTGAGACGTTTCGTTAATTTTTCAAACATGTGGCATTGTGCTCGCATGTTAGAGTATGATGTTTCTCCCAAGGGCATTCGAGTGCACTTTAGTTAGTTTGTATTTCCAAGACGAAATATGGTCGTGGATTTATAACTTTATGTCTCCCATCAATCTAGTTCATTGCTTGTTCCCTTTATATATAGGTATATACGAATACCAAACTAGTAGAGTCGGCTGGTGCAAATAAGTATAGTTGGGAGGATTCCCAAATATTGGGAACCCCTTGTATTTTAAATCATCTTGTAATTGTGCCCGTGGGTAACATCGAAGTTGGTTGTTCCTCTATCTATTGATTCTCCCTTTGGAATATGGCAAAAGGATATGTAGCGGCTTCGAGGAGTGTTATATTCCTTCCTATGAATGTCTGTTCACCCGGATAAAATTGTGGTTGCCTTTATCTGAGTTTGAAGTGGAAGTTAAAGTTTTTGAAGATTCTCCACTCGCAACTTCACCCTGGTCTTCCAATTCTGGGCTGAGTGTCGGTATCAGAAACCTTCATGCCGACTGTTTTCCCATCAATTTGTTGTAATTCAAACCTTTAGGTATAATTTATGGGATAAAGGAATTATCATGATACGCCAAAATTTCCCTTGTTTAGTTTTTTTTATGAAAGTTAGGTGTTTTCCGAAGACACGTCGTGTTGGTGAAGCCTTGTACTATGGAATCCCATTCCACGCTCTATCATTTTCCTATTGAATCTTCTCATTCTTGCTCGGTCAGGTTTCAAAAATATTAGACTTAGGTCCATTTCCATCGTGAACCTCATACGTACTTCGTCCTTTTAGATTCTCTTGCTCTTGACAAGGTTATGATGAAGAAAAATCTAGAGACTTTGTATGGGAGTCTGGGCTTTGAATATGGGTTTTTCCCTACAGAGGTGAATCCTTCTTTATAGAGAAATCAGTTTATCGATACCCACATTATTATGGGCGTTGTTAGTAGTTTGGGAAAGGAGGTTTTTGGTGAGAATAATATCATCCCCTTATTGTTTTTTTTACATGGATGTTTGGTATATGCATATAAAATGGATTTTTTTTATAGAAGGTATATGTTATTTCTAAAGAGCGGGAGGCTCAGGATCTCAATATTGCTTCTTTGACACGGGTCATCACTCTTTCTCCTATCGATCATATCGTGCTTGTTACAGTTAAGGTTTCCCCCGTTACTTCTAACCCTGACCATCCTTCCTCTATGATCCCACTGCCAATATAAAAAGGAATAGGGATTGGGATCAAAGTCTTCTCTGGGAGGAATATTCGGCTAAATATACTTAGATGGCTTGGTGTGTCGCTATAAGATCGACCACTTCTATCCTCAAACTTTCGTTTATTCTACCTGTTCGGATTCACCATACTCCCTAGGAGATTGTTGTTGTGATGTTTTAGGAAGATCTTTCTTACCTTCTGAATCTTCCTAAATCGGAAAAGATAGAGCTTTTTTTCGAAGTCACGTTTTTCTCTAGCTACTACTGTCCATGGGGATGTTATGGGCATGGATAATCCTTCTAAAGAAAGGAATACATGGAAAGGGAGAGCGAAGGTATGGAACATAAATGGTCTAAGCTTTAGTAAGAAATGTCAACTCTTCAAGAGAAATCTAGTCGTGTGGAGTCTCTTAAGAAGGAGGCGGAAAATCATGGACCCCCTTCCTCTTTAGCTACTAGGATCTTTGAGCTTGAATCCTTCCTGGAGACGAAAAATAATTCTCTACAACTGGTCTTGCATTGGAGATGAAGTCCTGTGCTGACGAGCCTTTAAGACCCCTTCAATAGGATAAGGAATCTAGAGCTAAAGATCGCAAAGCCTATGATAATTGGGTGCCTAGGCTGAGGAGTGGGGTTTTTGATTCCCTGCACCAACTCTTAAGAGGATGTATGATGCCTTTGTCTGTTTCCCAATTGCAACTTGGCCCATTCAAGGTCGTTTAGGATCAGGCCTTCGTGGAAGACCTCGCTTCAGCGTTTGAGGGTGAAAAGTCTTGAATTTTTATCTTTTATTTTAATTTTAATGTAAGTATAGTGTTATGCCCTTATGTTTCCTCGCTACCTACTGTTACTATTGAGTGCACAACCTAAGAAGGTGGTGAATTATGTGTTTAGAAATTTTAGAGAAAAGTAACAAACTTTTTGCCTTGAAATTTATTGGTTTACTTTTTCTGGTTTTATGAGAAATGAAGTGGTGATTTATTTTTCTGGGTTAAGAAATATAAGTGATGTGTAGAAAAATAAATTCAGTAAAGTAATTGAGCACAAGGAACTATTGTTAGAACAAGATTTTGATTCTGCATATAAACTCTAAGTTTTGATGATAACAATGCATATATTTTATATATAACAATTATGTACTCTAATGAATTTTTCTAAAGTGTGTAGTCAATTTTTAATTGATTTTGAATAACTCTCATGAAGCTTCATCAAAACTCCTCTGGCACGCCTCAAGTATTTACTTTGTTTGTCTCTAAAGAAACATTAGCAGTTCTGATGAATGTTGAATGCCTCTGAAGAAAAAGAAAGTTATGCGCTTCTAAGAAAAGGTTCGCTTTCGACTCTGATACCAAACTCTGATGACTCTAAAGACAAGGCTCTGTTGAACAAGTTATGAACACTCTGAAGACATTACTTCTAAAGGTTTTTAAAGACTCTGATTCCACTCAGTAGTTTTTTTGAACTCATCATCACTTCACATTAGATAAAGTTGGTCAGAAGATAAGGTCAAAGACAGAAACGTGTGATGAAAGAATCCGTACAAAAGTTCATTCCCATTTTGGTATAAACTAATTTCACCTCAGTACTGCAATATGGGATATGGTGAGACTTTACAAATATTATCCCTCACAATCTTGTTATTACCGTTGCAACAGTTGGCATCAAATTTACGCTTGTACCCTTCAACGTTCAAACATTCAAT